CAAAAATGATTGAGAATGTGAAGTTTATATTACTTAATCACTATTTTAAAAAATGTTCATGTTTACATATGCAAAAAACCCCTACAAACACAACTATAATACTAAAAGTTTCCCACCTTCTAAAAATAGTTCAAGGGGTATATAATTGTAGCTTTGGTCTCCTTCTTTTACCGTAACGATATTTCTAAAGTGCTGAAACACGGTGTTCAAAACTGAGCTCACCCTGTTGCCTGCCAAACTCTTTCTTTCTCATGATTTTTAAGCCAAAAACCCAAGTCATCCCTGACTCCTCTCTTCCTCCTCTAGTATGATCATTACAAACTCCTTCTGTTGTACCTGCTAATCTCTTTGGCCCCTTCAACCACCATCACTACCCCAGTGCTCATCACCCACAACTTCTCCCTGGTTTATTCTACCAGCCTCCTAACCCGTTTCCCTTGCTTACCCCTTCCAAATTGTGCCCCTTGCTGGCATCAGAAGGAATCATGCTACAAATCCAATCACATCAATCCTTTCATTAGGACTGATTTATGATTCCAACTGTTTCTCAAATAAAGGTGGTCTAGGAGTCTCTACAGGATACAACCCTTAAGAGAAGGGCATCTATCTCATCTCACGTCCTGCCCCCCACTCATATATGCCCTTCTGTGTCCCACTCCTTGCCCCTAAGTCTACTCATCCCCTTGATGGGTATTATCATTATTTCTTTCAGGAAGTCTTCCCTATCTCTACACCCCCTATAGTCTGTTATATGCTTTCCTAGGTTATATATTCCTACACCTCATAGCAATTATCTTACTTAGTAAAAATATGGTTTTTATTTTTGTTTTTGGTACCAGGGATAGAACTCAGGATCTTACACTTAGCAGGCAGGTGCCACACCACTGAGCTACATCCCCAGCCCTCATAGTAAAAATATGTCTCACCTGCTGGCTGTAAGCCCTAGGAGGACACAGTCCATGTCTGTTTTATTGGTCAATACATTCTTAGCCTGGCAAAGGGTTGGGCCAAATTAACTAATAGGATTAGGTCAAGTTGCATTTTTATGACAAAAACAGCTAGACTTTTGGAGTCCCATAAGAACAGTTACTGTTTCTTCTTGCCTCTCCAAATTCGGTGAGTTGTCCAGAACACTATCTCTAATGCCAAAAAAAATCACCCCAAAATAAAACAATAATTCCTGTCCTGCAGACAGAACTTGAAATGTGATGTCTCCCACCTGTTTACCATTCATCTACTCACTAGAACACAGATCACGTCCTAGCTATGTACAGACATGAACAAAACCAAACATCTTCCCTTAAAGCATTTTCATTCTGGTAGAGAAGCTAGACTGTGTTGACTTATTTCCCTGTTGGTGTTTTATTTGTTTTTTGAGACAGGGACTTACTATTTAGTCCGGACTGATGAACTCACCATGTACCCCAGGCTAGCCTCAAACTCACAGCAATCCTCAGTCTCCTGAGTACTGGGATTACAGATGTGCATCACCTCACCCAGTCAGTTTTTTTTTTAATCCTATGCTTTAGCACAGGATCCAGCACAATTTGAAATTGGATTCAAATCCTGGCTCCACCACTACTTACTAGCTGTGTCACGTGGCCTCTTTGTACCTTACTTTTCTTTTCAGTAAGAAAGGGCTAAACATGATGTCTACTTTATGGGATATGAGGCTTAAGCAAATTAATATCCATAAAGCACTTAGCATAGTGTCTATGAGATAAGAAAGCTTCAATATCTGTTAGCAACTAAGAACATAAATATCCTCAACAGCAAGGCTTAGACTCTGAATCCTTTCAGGCATTATAGCACAGATAAAGGGAGGGTTGCCATTTAAGCCTCAGTCTGTGACATGCATTCAACACTTATATTCTTTTAAAACTTTATGGGCTTGGGCTGGGGATTTAGCTCAGTGGCATCACCCCTGCCTCAAAAGCTCAAGGTCCTGAGTTTGATCCCTGGTACCCCCCAAAAACACCCTTTATGGGCTTATCCACAATGCTAAGAGTTGCTATGATAAACAGGAGCTCTGTGGTAATGTGGTCTTCAGTGCTATTGCAGGGTACACCGCAAGCTGTCAGCTTTTCACAGGTGGTTAGGCCTGTTAAACTGTTTGTCAAAACTCCTTGGGGGGGGGGGTCCCCTTCATTTTCCCTACCTATGGGTACTGGTCACCCCTCCCTTTCCTTTTGAGATTCCCTATCATGAGTGGTCCTAATCCCCTGAGATGGGCCAACACCTTATGCCTAAGAACACCCAATACTAAAGCCCATGTCATATGTGCTCCATCCAGTTACTTATTCTATGGACTCCTACCTCAGCCCAAGCAAGCCATAAGACTCCAATGCCTAGACCCCTGCACCTGTGTGTGTACCTGGGGATTAGTTCAATTAAGTCCCCAACGTGAAGGAATATTAGCCCTCAACCAAGCGTCAGTAGACTCTCTTTATGGAAAAGGCTTCTTCATCCAGGAACGGAGACTCATGGTTTGTCCTCCCAACAAAGGCAGGTACCTGTAGCACTCACTATTCTTAGAATAACAGCCCTCGTGAGCACCTTGGGAGGTGTTACCTCCAGGGTAACTGCCAATACAGTTCAAGTCAAAAACCTTACAGCCACTACCACTGAAATTGCTGAGTCCACAGGAAGGAACTTTCAAGAACGCCAGAGATTTCTGGACTCTCTGGCTGGGATGGTTCTAGAATACAGACAGGTTCTTGGCTGGATGCTTGCAAACCAGGAAGGTGTATGTGCCATGTTAAACGGGTCTTGCTGTATGTACATAAATAACTCCCAGGTGGTAAAAACCAGGACATCCATCATTCTGGACAGAGCCAAATGGCTCCATGATCAGGGGACAATGAACCTACTGACTCTCAAATCCTCACTCAGATCAGAGGCTAATTTCCAATCCTCAGATCCTGGGTCTTGTCCTTAATAACACGCATCCTCCTCATCCTGCTCCTGTGCCTCTTTGGTCCATGCATAATTAATTGCCTTACTTGCTTTATTTCAGACTATCAATGCCGTTAAGATACAGATGGTCCTTCAGATAAAACCTCTAAAAAACTTGCCCTCCTTCTACCAGAGACCTCTCGATCAACCTCCTGATGAACACCCGCCCTGCGTCCGGTTGATGTCCCCTTTCAGCAGGAAGTAGCCAGAGCAGTCGTTGCGCAAGGCCACCCCTCACACAGCAGTTGGTAGGGTGCCTCAGAGGGGCGGATTGTACGGATAGAAACGGGTAGGTAGGGAAAGTGAGGGACTCTTCCCCAAGGAGTTTTGACAAACAGTTAAACAGGCCTAACCATATGGTCGCACTTCCTCTGTACACTGTACCCTGCAAAGTTTATTTTGCAGAAGAAAAAAAAGAAACCTAACCCTAGAATGTGGAAAGTCCTCAAAGACCCTTCCTCATCCTCCCTAGTAATGAGCCAATCAACCAATCAAGTAAGGGTGCCCTCAGCCCAGAGAAGAGAATACTATAAAGTTAACACTACTGTAAAGTTAACACCTCCAGCCCACCTTCAACGGTGGCTCCATTTCGGGCACCCCTGCCTGTCTCTCTGAGAGAAGGCAGCTATACTCTTGCATGCTTGCTATATTAAAGTATAAACTTTGCTTCTACACCATCCATCCCTCTCTGATTCTTTCACAACCTTCTGCATCATGGGTAGAGTCAGGCCCGGGATCTCCGAGACTCTCTGCCCGAGACACTATGATTTAAAAAGCCTCAGTAGGGGTTATGGCTTGTTTAGATGTCCCACCAAAGCATCAATTGATGAGGAGGGGCTATTTCAAAGGTAACTGAATCTAAGAGTGTTTGATTGATTCAAGGTGCAATGCTAGGCCCAAGGGCACTAGGTTTAAGTATGTGAGCACTACCCACCCTAAGTAGTTTAAATAAGATAAAAGGGGCAGGAGGAGGCTGTTAAAGTCTTTTGTTGCTTTTGCCATGTGGGCACCAGGAACTGTTTCACCTCTGTTATGCAGCTCTGCTGTGTGCCACCCTGCCTTGGAGCCAGCTGATTATGGACTAAAACCTCTACAAACTGTGAGCTAAATAAACCCTTTCCCCTTTAACTTTGGGTGTTGGGTATTTTGTCTCAGCAAGGAAAGGTAACTAAGACAGTAGGCAACAGGTATTTTCAAAAGCAACACAAGTTAATATTTTAGGAAGTGAATGCTGTGTCAGACAGCTGGTATGTAAACACTAGATCAGTGATGGCGAACCTTTAGAACTGTCAATAATACGAATAGCCTGCTGCGGCATGCATGCCATAGATTTGCCACCACTGTACTAGATGGTATGACTACCTTTGTCAGCTGATATCCCTTCTTCACTGAAATAACCTAAACCTAAAATTTCCTACTGATTTCACTGATTTTCAACCAAGTTTTTGCAATTTTTTTCAAATGTACAGGCATATTATTAAGAATAATTATGAACAAACAAATGCAACAGACCTTTGAAAACTGCCACAAGGTATCTGTCTATCTAGGAGGTGTATTATACTGTGAATCAAAAGTTACATTTAACCTAGTATTTTGTGTGGGGTACACTTGTAATCCCAGCTACTCGGGAGGCTGAGGCGGAAGAATCCTAAATTTGAGGACAGTGTGGACAGCATTGCAAGACTCTGCTTCAAAATAAAAGTTAAAGAAAATTAAAGGGCTGGAGATGTGACTCAGGGGTAGCGTATTTGTCTAGCAAGTGGGAGACCCAGGTTTAATCCCCATTACCACAAAAATTTGAATATGTAAATAAGATTATCTTCTATTTAAATAACACCCAATGCAATATATTTGTGATATTTAGTTGACAATCAATAAGGTATTCTTTAAAAAATGCATTAGGTGACTGTAACATAGAAGGCATTGTTGTAAATATGCACCGGAGAGGGCTGAGGATTTAGCTCAGTGGTGCCGCGCCTGCCTCCCAAGCACAAGGGCCTGAGTTCGATCGCCGATTCCAAAATAAATACATACATACAAGAAAACATGCTCTCTGCCCTCTAGGAGCCTGGTTTAGCAGAAGAAACCCATATATTGCCCTACTGTGTTACACATCACAGATCCTAACACTTGGCCATGTAAGGCCCAAAGGATGCCTATTTGGGGGAGGACCTGGGAAAGTTCTAGAGAAAACCACTGAACTAAATCCTTAAGGATGAACAAAAATTCTTCAGTGAGATGAAGGAATTGCAAGCTGGTGCAAACATTGAAAACCATGGAATACCACATTGTGTTGAGTCCCAAAATTCTACACGGCTGCATTTGGGTATGATTTGGGTAAGAGGGAGGAACATGAGGGTGGAGAACAAACAGGGGCTGACCTCACAACTTTGTACTTTACCCTACACAGAAGGGTAGCCTAGAAAAATCCGAATGAGGGTAATAAAGTGATTGGTTTACACTTTCGAAGATTACGATCCGATCCGTGGCTTCATACTCCACAACTCCCACCAGAGGGCTGTCCTCTCTCACCAGGGGTCCTCACTCACGCTTCTCCAGCATTCAGACAACTTGCCCCCTTTTCCCAGCCTCGGTCAGTATAGTCACCCCGCCGTCGTGCGATCCCGCCCCCCTTTCTAGCGCTCCTGTGGTCTGACTTCGGCAGCACTTTCCGGCAGGTGACTGGGCACTCGCTGTCACCGCAGCGGCCTCCCTCAACGTGACCTGAGAATCTTCCCGAAGGGTGACAGACCATCGCATTTGCCTCAGTTTCCTTCTCTCATGTGGGGAAAGGTCTGGCTCCCAGTCCACAGGCAGCTGGGCGTTAAGTACCAGACGCTTGGGGAGAGCCGGGGAGAGCCGGGGAGAGCCGGCACGGAGCAGACCCCAGCATCTCTAGTGACGGGGACAAGCGCCGCCAGCTCCGCCCGGAGACTCTTGCGGGCGAGCTAGCGAGGTAAGCCGGGCCGTGGGCGGGAGGGCAGGGCGGGGCGGCTCACCGGTAAAAGGCAGAGTCTCCGAGTGGGTTCCAGTTCGCTGTGTAGCAGTCCATGGCTGGTACAGGGAGCAGCTGGGTACCGCTGCGGGAACCTCAGTGTAGTGCGGCCTCCAAGGTGGCACTTCCGCTTCCGCCCGTCTGGGTCACGTGGCGAGGCCCCCACGGCGGCCATCACCACTGTGGGCAACTGGCCTTGGCTTTTACAGTACCCCCTCCCGCCCCCAGGCTTCGCGCCGGCACAGGTGGGCCTAGTCCCACGTCCTGTTCCCTGTGGCGGCCAACCTTCCTGTCACCTCTGGCGTTGGGGTTCGCAAAGGGCGGTACATGGGTGACCGGAAGTGGGAGCTGTGAGTGTTGCCGCCCCGGGCGCCGTGGCCCGAGGCGCCGTCGGGGCCCCTGCGACGCACGCATGGAACGCAATGTGCCCAGACGGCTAGCCGGGGCGCATGGGCTTTGCGAGGCGAGGGCTTTGCAGAACCGACTGGCCTCTCGGGGCGCAGGAACATGAAGGCGCGTGGTGCGCGACCGTGGCCTGCTCACCGGTGAACGGCACCGAGCCCCGTGACTTGGTAATTGGCGCGAGCGGGCGCGTGCGCATGCGCTGGGTGGCGGGCACGTGGCGGGGCGCAGGGTTGCGCCGCGCGGGAAACGCCGCGGTTCCCTGCAGGCCTGCTGGCCAGGCTATATCCGGCCTCTGGTGCGGAGTGTGACCAAGGCCGGCACTGCCATGAGCCCTCTTCTGCCGCTGCTACCGCCACCTCCTGTAACCCTGAGCATCTTGGGAGGAGCCTGCGCAGGTCTCTTTTATCCTGGGGCGGGACCTAGGGCCGACCTGCCCTGTGTCCCCGCCCTCGAGCGGTTTAGTGGCCTCTCCCTGCAGCCGGTTGGTGTCGGTGACAGCATGGTCTTCTGTCTGGAAAGCGAGGTGCTGCGCCGCCCGCTGCGAAGCGCCATGGTCCACTTCCAAGCTTCAGAAGTCCAGCAGCTGCTACACAACAAGTTCGTCGTCATCTTGGGGGACTCCAGTGAGTGCCCCCTCTAGGATGACACTTCCCAGTCTGGCATCTGCAACCTGTTCTCTGAAGCCTCTGGGCCCCCTAGTCTGTCCTAATCCAGTAGATTTTCCCTTTTTACTCTCACACACCTTCCACAGGTGTCCTGACTGATGCAACTTGTGGACTTTTTAGCATACCATTGCTTAGCTTCTTTCTCTCTCCTTCACAGTTCCCATAATTTCCCTAAAAGCTGCGGATGGTGTTGTGTGTCTTCTGGGTGACTTGGTCAAGTTAATTCTTCGAGATGATCTTGGTCACTGTATACTAAGTTTGCAGAGAGGGACACAAAAGGAACAGAGATAGTGCCAGCAATTTGGGGGGGGGGGTTCTGGGGATGGAACTTGGGACCTTGCATTTATGAGGCAGGCAGGTGGCAGAACCACTGAGCTAAATCCCCAGCAGTGCCAGCATTTTTTAACTTCACCTTATCTCCTTTTCTAAGACAATATTCCAAGCTGGTGTTGGCCAGTCTAGCCTGCAGAAGATGGGAAGCTTGGATTGAAAGGAGATGGGATGGGATGAGGTCTGCTTTAGACTTGAAATCTCTGTCTCCTTACAGTCCAGAGAGCTGTGTATAAGGATCTGGTGCTTCTGCTCCAGAAAGACTCGCTGCTCACAGTTGCCCAGTTGAAAGCCAAGGTGAGGGAAGCTTGGCAGGCATGCTAGTGGTGGGTGGGTACAACCCCTGGCCTGGCAGGGCCCACCACCCTGGTATGGGTCTAACTAGTGGGGTTGTGGGGTGGGCAGGGGGAGCTGAGCTTTGAACAGGACCAGCTGGTGGCTGGGGGCCAGCTGGGTGAGCTGCACAACGGGACACAGTATCGTGAAGTCCGCCAGTTCTGCTCCGGTTCTGGCCATCACCTTGTGCGGTTCTACTTCCTCACCCGAGTTTACTCTGAGTACCTGGAGGATGTTCTGGAGGAGCTGACATATGGGCCTGCCCCGGACCTGGTGATCATCAACTCTTGCCTTTGGGATCTCTCCAGGTTTGCTCGGGAGAGGGGGAATTCTGGTTGGAGGTGGAGGTAAGGCTCCACCCTGGCGCTCCTGCGTACCCTATGTGTTACCCAACAGGTATGGCCGCTGTTCAATGGAGAGCTACCGAGAGAATCTGGAACGAGTATTCATACGCATGGACCAGGTGTTGCCAGACTCCTGTCTGCTGGTGTGGAACATGGCGATGCCCCTGGGAGAGCGTGTCACTGGAGGTTTCCTACTGCCAGAGGCAAGTGACAGGTCCCCTTGGACAGGGGGTGGGACAGCTGGCTGGTGGGGGACCCTCTTAGAGGCTGCATTTTCTCACTCAGCTCCAGCCCCTGGCAGCCACTTTGCGACGGGATGTGGTTGAGGGGAACTTCTATAGTGCTACACTGGCTGGGGACCACTACTTCGATGTTCTGGATCTCCACTTTCATTTCCGGCACGCAGTACAGCACCGTCATCGAGATGGTGTCCACTGGGACCAACATGCACACCGCCACCTCTCACACTTGCTTCTGACCCATGTGGCCGATGCTTGGGGCGTAGAGCTGCCCACGAGGGACCATCCCCCTGGTGAGCCTTACCACAGAGGGGGTGGGAAGTGATGCAGAGAGCCCGCGGAGCACAGGGCTTAGGAACGGAACATAACAGAGGTGCTCAGAGGGTAAGGATCCTTTGAAGGACTATTGGGGCTTTTGAGTGCTCCTTCATCAGTCCCTAGGGAGAGTTAGATTACAGGAGTAACAGTTTAGTCTGAGTTCCAGGTCTTTACAGTCTAGCCCTGTAGTCCCCTCTGTACACGAGTGAGCTTAACATAAGTATTGATTGCAAAAGACATGGTGTCAAAAGACCCCATCCAGTGGATGAACAGAAAATAAATGAGGGTACTTCTAGCTAGGCACAAGTGTAGGGACAGAAATGGAGAAATAGAGGAAAGGAGGTCTAGGCAGTATGGCAGAGGCAAGGGAGCTCATTGGCTAGGGGATTGAGGAGTCCACAGTCAGCTGGAACGTAGTTGAGCAGGGACATGATGTAACCTGTGGGGAATGGAAGGTCAATCTCTTGGAGCTGGGCCCAGTGACAACATCCCCTGGACTCCTCAGGTCAGCCTGAGGGTCCTAGCGTCTCTGGCTGCAGCTTAGCACGCCTCATCTAGTCTCCTCTCTGGTCATTGTTGGAGACTTCTGAGGGTTCCACTTGGTTCTCTTGGGGGACTGTTCCTCACATCTCTGTTGCTGAGCGTTTGTTTCCTTGTTAGCCTCCCAGTCCTTGCCTACTCACAAAGGGGACATTGTGACGGATTGTTTCCATGTCTGCCTGCCCTCAAAAAACAGGCACGTGTTCACAATTCACTTGTTCACAATTCATCCCTTTTAGCCCTGTGTCTAGCATAGTCACTCTGTACATACTGCCAGTAGGATGGTATGTTGAATTGGCGGCACAAGTCATTTTAGCTGTTGCAGCACTAGAGGGTGTGGTTCCATTTTCTTGTTTTTTAGTTGAGAGAATTGATTCCTAACAAAGGAAAGGATGTTCTAAAGGTTATGAAGCTAGTTTATGGTGGCTCAGGCCTTCTGAATCCAATTTGGAGCTATGGAAATTAAGGACGTCAAAAAGAAGAGTTGATTTGGGATGGGAGTTTGAGTGGGTGAATTTTATTAGGGAGGATCTGTTTGAGCTGTGGAAATACAGAGTAGATCTGGAGTCAGCAGTATCCAGTAGAGTTGAAAGTGGAGAGCATGAGTGAACTGTGAAGAAAGCAGAATAATGCTCATGCTTTGGATTGACAGGAAGAGAGGCTGATGGCAGAAGCAAAAGGTGAAGGTAGGGGCACTTTCAGGGAGGACTAAGGCTATTGGTAATGTCACATGACCATGGGGTAGAAAGGGCTTTGTTAAATTTGTCAGTGAGTGGTTACACATAGCAGGAAAAGCATTGACGATTGAAGGCATGGAGTAGAGTCAGAACAGGCAGTGAGAGCTTGATAAGGGGATGGAGATGGGGCAGACTTCCTCAGAGAAGTTTGGGAGATAAAGGGAACCAGTAGAAGTGAGGGTGAGGGTCTTTATATTTGGCTTATTAGCCTAGGGGGAGGAGTTGTGGAGAGGAAAGAGCTAAAATAGAAAGTAAACAAAGAGAATAGACTTAAGAGGGGAGTGTGAGATTAGAACAGAGGTAGATGTAAGAAGCAAGAAAAAAGGAACACACTTTGGGCTTGTCCTGAAATGAGAGGGAATAAGGAGAGGTGGGAAGAAGGCACAGGGCACTCTGACCTGATGGCCCTATTCTCTGAGAGGATGGAGTAGAGCTCTGGAAGTATGGATTGCTGGCATTCAGGGAAACCTGGAGCCCAGGCCTATCTAAAACCATCATCCCATTCCTAGAACCATGGATTGAGGACTGGCCAGAGATGGATCATCCGTTCCAGGGAAGCCATAGGCAGCCCCCAGACTTCGGGGAGCAGCTGGCCTTACCCCCACCCCCACCCCCTCCTTTACCCCCTCCTATGTCTTTTTCCTACCCTCTTCCACAACCTTCACCACCTCCCTTGTTCCCACCCCTGCCCCAGGATACCTCTTTTTACCCAGGCCAGCCCTTCCCACCCCAGGAATTCTTCAGTTATAATCCAATAGAAGACTTCTCGATGCCACCCAATTTAGGTATGTGCCTCTGCAGTCTTCTCTTGTACCTCTCCCAGCCTTCCCTTGCACCTCCTGAGCCCAGCTTCCTGTGGTGAGGTGTGCTGAGAGGAGATGGGTACCCTTTGTGCCTCCAGGATTCTCTTCGGTTACAGTAGTTCCTCAGTTTGGAACAGCATCTGTGGACTCAGTCAGCTCACTGATTGTCAAAGGTCCCCACTCGGGAGGTAGGGGAGGTGGTGCTTCTGTTGTGCAGACAGGAAACCTAAGCCCAGAGAAACGCCCTGGAAGAGCAGAGCTGCCTGCAGGCAGAGCTGTGCTCACCCTGCTCACAAGCCCACTCCCGATAATGACTGGTTCTTTTGTAGGGTGTGGCTCTCGAGTGAACTTTGTGCCTGGTCCCCTGCCACCTCCAGTCCCTGGCTCTGTCTCCCACGGTCAGCACCGGGGCCCAGTGGTCCACCGGGGGATGCCACGCTGTGTTCCCAACAGCCCCTACCATGTGCCAAGATTGGGGGGTCTCTGTAGACGACTCAGGCACTCAGACAGACTGATCCACACATACAAACTGGACAGGCGAGGACATACCCATTCAGGAACATGGCCTGGGTAGATTGGATTTGGGGCTGGGGCTGGATGTGCCAATGGCCCTGCGGGGCCTGCCTGGCACACAAGTGCTGGGCCAGAGTGTTTGCTATGCCTGGCATTATTCTTGTCCATTGCTGTTACCAATAAAGGCATGGAAGGAGAGAGTGACATATTCCTGTGTAAGGGAGTGGGTCTTCCAAGCCATGATCTTAAAAGTTGGGGAGGTTTTCGCTGAGCTTTCTCCAATCTTGGACACTTAGCCCCACACTATTTAGAAATCATTGAATGTGCTTTTCTAGCATTCATTTGTATGTTCAGCAGAATAAGTATACTTAAAAGAGAACCTGGATCATTTCGGTTCCCTGTTGTCAACAGCTCTCTGAGATTGGGAGAAATCAAGGTCTGAGTTGGAATTGTCAGTATTTTTTATGAAATTTTTGTATCTGGCTAATTCTTATCTATACCTCCCAGCCACATAGAATGATGTGTACTTTCTGTATTCATCTGTCCCTGAAGATAGACACATACCAGCTGGGTGTGGGGGCACACAACTGTAATCCCAGCGCTCAGGAGATTGAGGAAGTAATATCCCTGTGAGTTTGAGGCCAGCCTGAACTACACAGCGAAACCCTGTTTCAAAAAACAAAACAAAAAACCAGAAAGACACATAACCTGTCTTGCATAATTCTTGGCATATAGAAGGCATTCAACAAGTGATGAAACTAAACAAAAAGCTCCCAGCTCCCAGTGGGAGACTGACTAGAAACCCATTTACTTAAATGTGCAGTGGGAACAAAGCCAACAGACCAGTTGTTTGGTGGTGGTCAGGAGGCACAGAACTAAGAAGAAATCGCTGGGTATAGGCTGGGGGTCATGATGGAGAGGCTGTGCTGAACACCATAGAAGTTAAGAAAAGCTGAGGGGGTATAACATCTCAGATTTGCCAAGTGGTCCTGACCCTGGAACATCAGTATTGTGGTGTTGGCTGAAATAGGGGAGGGAAGGGGATTGGAGCATTGCAGTGGGCTGATGAGTGATGTAGGGGCAGAAAAATAAGGTAGCATGAAGACACATTAAATACTCTTGAGGTAAAATGGATGGAAAGAGCATGGGTGCAGAATTCTTACATTGGCTTTTCATTCTTGTTAATGAAACCTTGGCAAAGGACATTAACATCTCACCCAAAAGAAGACAGAAATAGCAACTCAGAAAAGTGTTGATCCTGGCTAGCAAGGTATGAGACTAAACGTAAATGAGGGGCAATGGCTAACACACACTGATGCTGAGAAAACAGTAAGTATAAGCTAATAAAAGCCTTTAGAGGAGCCAGTTGAGACAGTGGGCAAAGGCACCAGCAGAATGCCTGAAACAGGTATGTCTGACTCTATTTCTTGTTTATACCACTGAAAAGGGACATACTGAGCTGAAAGAAAGTTGTGTGTGTTTGTGGAACTGGGGTTGGAACCCAGGGCCTCCTGTACACTAGGAAAGTGCTGTAACGCTGAACTCACCACTTTTTTAATTTTTTATTTGGAGGTAGAGTCTCTAGGTTGCCAAGGCTGGGCTCAAATTTGCAATCTTCCTGCCTCAGCTTCCTAAGTAGCTATATTTACAGGCATGTGCCACCACACCAGGCTGGAAGGCTCTAAAAAAAATTTTTTTTAAACAGATAAGATTGTAGATTTTTTTTTTTTTGCAAAACTTGACCTTTTTCCTTTCCATTAGAAAACCCACCCTTAAAGCAGTGCTCTTCCCTTGCATCCAGTTGGCCCACTCCTTTGTCATTCCTATATGCCTTTGCTTCCCTTTTCCCTAGCTAGACACTTTTATGCCTCTGATTCTGGGGGTTTTCAGTGTTACTGGAGAAAACTGTACACGTATTCTGATTTTCAGGAGAAAGTGATGAGTTTCTTACCCTTGCTGGGCCTTCCCTGTTGTGTGCCATCCTGTTCTCCAAGAATTCCCTGTACCCTTTCCTGCTGAACCTTTCCAGGGCTTTCTACTTGCTTCTGGAAGTCTCTCTGATTCCAGAACTCTCTGGAGGCAGCCTTGAAATGGTATGATGTGCTCAATATCCCTGCATTGTGCCTCTTTATTTATAATTCCCATCCCATTTGGCTATGTGGCTTGCATCACCCACAGTGAGGTTTCATAACCTTTACTTCAATATCAAAATCCTTTTTGTCCTTAGTTTTCTCAGCTCTCTCTAAAATTTGATGAAATAGTAAATTTTTCTTTAAACTTGAAATTTATCAAGGAATAAAAGAAGATAAATTGATTTATTTTCAGTTTGTTGTCATATAAGCATATAGTACAAAAACTAAAAATTTGAGTCCTCTAGCTGTGTGCAGTGTTGCACACCTGTAGTCTCAACATTGCAAGACTGAAGCAGGAGGATACCAAGGGAAAGCCCAACCAGGGCAATTTATGAGACCTTGTTTCAAAAAAAAAAATTAAGTCCTCTATTAGATATTTTATTCAGATATGACTGGGAAGCAGGAAACTTAAAAATAGCCTTCATACAGGTCATCAATCATATGCATTTAAATTATTTCTTGGATTTTGTTTTGAGATGCAAAATAATGAAAATCTGAGGCTGCCCAGTACAGAGGTCTACTAGTTAAGCTGCACAAAACAAGGCTATTAAGCTGCACAAAACTCACACTTCATTGTCTCAAAAACCAGATTGTTGACCACTGACAAAGTCATTCTATAAGACAATTTTTACTCCCTCTCATGGAGTCTTGTTTAAAAATAATGGATCCAATATTCACTCCTTTGTCATACCAAAATATATCTATAATGAGTAAAATGTACACAAGCACTTGAGTTGTGATGTTAGCTTGTTGGATGGAGTGCGGATTAAACCCTGGCCTTTAAGTTACATGCCCAACGCTTTTTTATTTTAAAAATTTAAAATTATTTTTTAACCCTTTTTTATTTTGATATAGTCTCAATAAGTGGCTCAATTGCTCAGGGTGGGCTTGGATTCTGTGACCCTCCTTACCTCGCCCTTTGGTTTTTTTGAAACAGTCTCACTATGTAGTTCAACCTGGCCTTTAACTCACTGTGTAGCCCAGACTGGCCTCGAACTCATGGCAATCCCCCTGCCTCAGCTTCCCCAGTGCTGGGATTGCAAGACTGCCACCACACCAGCCTCTGTGACTCTCCTGATTCAGCCTCCCTGAGTGCTGGGATTTTGTAGAGGGAAGAAAATGTTTTAAGAAAAGGAAAACTTGTGGATTTTTTTCCCAAAACATTTGATCCAAAATATCAAATGAAATCACAAGAAAAAATTTGATCCAAACTGGAAGTTGCCCAACAAAAAATAGGTAACTTTTTCTTCTATTACATTATCCAGTTCCTTGCACAGATTGTTCAGTTTGGTGTTGATATATCTAGACATGTAATAATAAAACTTTCTGAGCAAGGAAATGAACCTATTTTTTTAAGCTTTATTAAAATGTAATTGATATAAACCTCACATATTTAAAGTATAACTTAATAACATATACATCTGTGAAACCATTACAAACAAGGTAACCAAATTTCTCCCTCTTGCCCTTTCCTACAACTTCTCCTCCTGTCCCTAAGGCAACCATTAATACTGATGTGCTTTCTGTTACATCAGTTTTCATTTTCTAGAATTTTATATAAGTAGAACAATTGATAGTGGGGTTTTTTTTTCTTCCAGTACTGAGGATTGAAGCCAGGGCCATCACATTTAGCTACATACATCTCTGGTCCTTTTAATATTTTTTTTAGAGATAGGGTCTTGCTGAGTTGCACAGTCACTCAGGCTGGCCTTAGATTTATGGTCCTGCCTCAACTTCTCAGAGTGCCAGGATTACAGGAATGCACCACTATGCCTGACTTCATTCCTTTTTTGTGTGTGTGGAAATGGGTATTGGACCCAAGGGTACTCTACCACTGAGCTACATCTCCAGCCCCTGCCCCCTTCATTTTTGGAGACAGGGTCTCACCAAGTTACTCAGGCAGAATTTGAACTTGCAGCTAATCAGGTTCAGCCTCCATAAGTGCTGTGATTATAGGGCCCGCTGTACCCTGTATTAATCCAATTTTTAAATGTGATGTGTGATACTGTGGACTTAGAAAATATTTGTATTATAAAAGTTTTGAAACTCTCCAAAATGAAAGAGACTATGTTGATTTAAAAGACAGATATTGCCAGCTGTGGTGGTGCATACTTGTAATCCCAGTATACTGGAGGCTGAGGCAGGACAATTGGGAGCTCCAGGTCAGCCTGGGCGATATAGGAACTTCAAGGCCAGCCTGCACTAAGTAGCGAGACTCTGTCTCAAGAAAAAAAAAAAAAAGGATAGGGCCTTTTCCTCTGTAATCCTCCCTTTACTTTGCTCATTCAGATTCCCTAACACTTGTATATGGAATTGCTGTTTTTAGTCTACCTTTGGTTCCTCATTTAAAAGGAATTGAGTTTAAGTTCCTATCATTACAAATTGTATAGGTTACTGTAGATTTTTGATAGGAAACCTTTATCCAGTTAAGAAATTTGTTCCATACTTTGGTTACTAACAGTTTTGAACATGAATGGATGTTGAAGGATGAAATTACTTTTCTGCATTTATTGTAAACACTATGTAGGTGTTCTGCTTCATTATGTTTATATAGTGAATTACATTTTTGTTTCTTTTATTAAACCACTTATATTTACGTATTAAACCAGTCCTGTATTACTGAGAAAGAAGCATCCCAATTCCTTGCTAATTGACATAATTCACATAAACATTTTACTTACAGTTAAATTGCACAAATCTTGAGTGCATGGCTCAGTGAATTTTTACATGTGTGTATCCACCACCTAGGTCAAGGTACAGAACTTTTCCATCATCCCAGAAGGTTTAATTAAGCCTAATTTTTTTTTTGGTACCGGGGATCAAACTCAGGACCTTGTGCTTGCGAGGCAGGTGGTGGAACCCCTGAGCTAAATCCCCAGCCTCATTAACCCCTTTCTCAATACTTCTTCCCCTGACAGGTAACCATTCTGATATAACCATAGATTATCCTATTCATGAAGTCATAGAACAAAATCATGCAAAATACACTCCTGTGCACTCTCCAGTTTATGTTTCCAGATTTATCCCTGTTGTGTCTGTCAGTAGTTACTTTTTATCAGTATGTGA